TTCCTGTTGTTCATCCTTGGTGACCTGTCCATTCTTCCATTGCCTTTATACTTTCCTTTTGCATGTGAGGCATTTTAGAAGCTTCTTGTGCAGATACATTGGTCTCGCCATTCTTTTTGTGCTACCATCATGTCAGGACAGTTTTTTGTTGGGTTTCCTCAACGTGCATCAGTTGCTCCACCAATAGCCCCGCACAACAACTACGCAGCCCTCGCACCATTGATGGATCAGACATTCACATCCTCTGCACCGAGAACAGGACAGGAACAGCCACCCCCACCAAGGAAGCAATGAAGGGTAATTGTTGTGGGAGACTCCCTGCTGTGGGGAACAGTAGGTGCCATTTGTCATTCAGACCCCTTTGCTCGGGAGGGCTACTGCCTTCCAGCAGCCAGGATCTGAGATGTAATGGTAAGGATTTCAAAGCTGGTCTGCCCTACAGACCCCTACCCCATTCTCCTTGTCCATATGGGTACCAACGACACGGCAAGAAACAACTGCAGGAGAATCATGAACAACTGCAAGACCATGGGGGTGAAGCTTAAAGAACTAGGAGCGCAAGTGGTCTTCCCCTCAATCCTCCCAGTTAGAGACTGGTTGTTGGAGGGAGGAGTGCATTGGAGAAAATCAACTGAAAACTTTGGAGATGGTGTCACCGTGTTGGTTTTGGATTCCTTGACCTTAGCATACAGTTCAATGGCACTGGTCTTCATGCAGGAGATGGTATTCACCTCACGGGCAGAGGAAAGAAGCTCTTCTCTACGAGATTCACCGACTTGGTGAGGAGGGCTTTAAACTAGGCATGTCTGGGAGAGTGAGGGTAGATTCCACTGCTGTACATAAATCCTTTAGCCAAGACCCTGGGAGGGCATTCATGTAGGGGACATCCAGATGAGTACCAGCATCCTGAGACACTGGCAGAGTAACGGAAAACCTGAGGTGACTAAGAGTGAACCCCCTTTAGGGGAATGCCAGAAGCATAGGCAATAAACAGGACGAACTAGCACACCTTCTGGCAGACAAGGAATTTGACCTCATTGGGTTGACAGAGACCTGGTGGGATGATGCATATGATTGGGCAGTGGATATTGAGGGCTATAGGCTCTATAGAAAGGATTGGGTTGGGAAGAAGGGAGGAGGGGTGGCCCTCTCTGCAAGTCGCATTTGGTTGCAGGGAGAGGTCACTTGAGACCCTCTGGGTCAAGATACAAGGGGACCAACGAGAAGGGGACTTCATGGTAGGAGGCTACTATAGACCTCCTTACCAAGAAGAGGAGAGCAGTCGGGCATTCTCCAGGGAACTGACTGAAGCAGCTAGCACTAAAGACCTGATTGTCATGGGTATCTTCAACTACCCTGACATCTCTTGGGAAGACCATTCAGCCAGTTCCAGCAGATCAACCAACTTCTTGGCTGCTACTGACGACCTGTTCTTGACACAGGCTGTGGAAAGACTGACTAGGGGCAAAGCCACTCTGGACTTGATGCTGACCAAAGGGGAGGACATGGCAGGCGACCTGAAGGTTGGAGGTACTCTGGGCGACAGTGATCATAATCTGATTCATTTCACCATCCACCAAAAGGCTGGGAATTCTGTCAGTAGAACAGAAGTCCTAGATTTCAGAAGGGCAGACTTTGGTAAACTCAGGAGTCTAGTTAGAAAGGCCCTTTGCGACCAGCAACTGGATGATTTAGGAGTTCAGGAACAGTGGTGCTTCCTTAAGGGGACAATTCTCACTGCTCAGAAAGAAGCCATCCCCACACAGGCAAGAGGGAAAGGGGCCAAGAGACCCACTTGGCTCAACAGGGGTATTAGGGAACTTTTGAAAAAGAAAAAAGGAACATATATGCAATGCAAAAATGGTTCAGCAGCCAGAGAGGAGTACACTCATATGGCCAGGGTCTGAGCCACAGAAAGCCAGGGCACACATGGAGATCAAGCTGGCAACTGAAGTAAAAGACAACAAAAAGTCTTGCTATAGGTACATGGGGAGCAAGAAAAAATCAAGCTCCACCGTGGAACCTCTACTGAATATGGGGTGGGGGGCAGCCCACAGTTGATCCCTGTGAAAAGGCAGATCTCCTAAATACTTACTTCACATTGGTATTCCTGAAATCAGATGGGATCTAGTCACCTGTCCAGAGGCCCAGGGAATATGGGGAAGACAACAGTCCACATGAAATCAGTTCTGAACTGGTGAGGGTACTCGTAGAACATCTGGACATTTTCAGATCTGCTGGGCCAGATGACCTGCATCCAAGAGTCCTGAAAGAACTGGCTGAGCTCATAGCAGGGCCTCTGGAGAATCTGTTCAAACAGTTGTGGAACTCAGGAGTGGTCCTGAACAACTGGCTAACATGGTACCCATCTTTAAGGAAGGGAAGAGGGATGACCCGGCAGACTATAGATGAGTCAGTCTGACTTTGGTTTCTGGTAAAAATCTTTGAAAAAATTGTCAAGGAGGCCATCAACCACAAGCTTGCAACTGGTGGGGTATTAAGAAGCAACAGCACAGCTTTATCAAGGGTAGGTCATGCTTAACAAACCTGGTGTCCTTTTATGACCAGGTAACTAACCAGCTGGACAAGGGACACGAGGTTGACATCATTTACGTAGATTTCAGCAAAGCCTTTGATACTGTTTCTCATGAGATTCTCTCAATTAAGCTGGAAGGTACTGGCCTAGACCAATCTATAGTGAGGTGGGTTGGCAACTGGCTCAGAGGCTGATCCCAGAGAGTTGTAACTGATGGGATGGCCTCATCCTGGAGGGCCGTCTCTAGTGGTGTCTCCCAGGGATCAGTGCTTGGGCCCGTACTCTTTAATATCTTTATCAATGATTTGGATGATGGAGTGGGAAGCGCAGTGATTAAGTTTGCGGATGACACCAAGCTGTGGGGTAATGCAGGCACAACTGAAGATAAGGGAAGGATCCAGGATGACCTTGACTGACTGGTCCTATGGCTGAATGCAATCAGATGAAGTTCAGTAGGGACAAATGCTGGGTCCTTCATTTGTAGAAAGAACCTTCACCATAACTATAAGGTGGGTGGTGGTCCACTGGTTGACGCTGCATCTGAAAGGGATCTGGGGGTGACAATCGACCAGAAGGTTAATGTGAGCTAACAATGTGATGAAATTGCCAACAGGGCAAACAGAACTCTGGCGTGCATCAGTCGATGTGTTGTGAATAGATCCTGAGAGGTGCTCCTCCCCCTCTATTCAGCATTGGTGAGGCAACGGTTGGAGTACTGTGTCCAGTTCTGGGCACCGCACTTCAGGAAGGATGTAGATAAGCTCGAAAGGGTACAGAGAAGGGCCTCCCATATGGTTAGGGGCCTGGAAGATGGGCCTTATGAGGAGAGACTCTGGGAACTGGGTTTGTTCAATCTGCATCAGAGAAGACTGTGAGGTGACTTGATAGCTGCCTACAAGTATGTTGGGTGAACACCAAGTTCTAGAAGAGCAACTCTTCAGAAAGGCACCCCTTGGGAGGACGTGGATCAACGGGCAAAAACTAATTGAGGAAAAATTTTAGGTTAGACATGGGAGAAAAACTTATTTTCTGTAAGGGTATCTAGAATCTGGAACATGCCGGAGGTGGTACAGTCGCCATTCCTGGAGGTGTTCAAGAGGAGGCTGGACAAGTACCTCGTTGAGCTCATTTGAGCCCAATAACCTGCCCATATCAGGGGACCGGACTTGCTGATCTTACAGGTCCCTTCTGGTCCTTCTATTCCATCATTCCAATACTGCACCTCTTGGAAGCTTCCAGCCCTCCTGAGCACCTTTATCCTTCAATCTGTCCTCCTGTGACACCATGCCTGTTAGCTTCTTGAATCAAATGAAATTCACCGTTTTGAAATCTAGTGTCCTAATTTTGCTGACCTCATGCTTTCCCCATCTCAGGATCTGGATTTCTATCGTATTGTGATCTCTTCCTCCCCAGTTACCCATCAAAAGATTTTGGGTCTGCATTAATAGAAGCATTAGGTGCAAGACATGGGAGGTGATAGTACCTCTTTACTCGGCAATGGTTAGGCCTCACTTGGGTAACTCCCAAGTTACCCATCAATTTCACATCCTCCACCAGTTCTTCCCTTTTGGTCAGAACAAGGTCCAAGATGAGTAATCCCCTAGTTGCATTTTGCTTTGCTGTTGTTCCCTGGTTCAGGAGGAAGACAAGTTTATGCATTTTTGACATACAAAGGAACACCATCAGCTTTTCTCCCAATCCTTTTCTTCTGAAACAGTGTGTAACCCTTGATGTTCACCTTCCAGTCAAAGGACCTGTCCCAGCAGGTCTTGGTGATGCCTATCAGATCATAGTTCTTTTCACAGGCTGTGGGTTCCAGCTCATTTTGTTTATTCCCCACACTTCATGCATTTGTATACATGCATTGGATTTATTTTGAAGCTTGACTTCCTTGCTTCCTTTTTGTGCCATTTGTTTCAGTCTTGTAGCTCTCTGGCCCTTTCCCAGAGTCAAGTTGTTTTTTTCAAGCAACTCAACTCATGATCAACTTCCAATGTAATGACTGTTTACGTTCTGTCCTAGAGACATGTGTGTTCATCTAACATTTTAAAATAATGCTGAAAATTCTGGTGTGTGGGCCTTTTTGTAGTCTCTCAGATAAATGAGTTATTGGAAGCATTTTAAAGCTTCAGTTTTTTGGGTGGTTCTCAGCACTTTGCACCCCTGTTGGTAGTTTGGCAAATGCTGCAGTTATGAAAAATGTTTCTTCTAGGCATCTCTTTTTCTAATGATTTTTCTTGCCATGTAAACTTTCAGGCTGAAAGTTAACCAAAAGGAGTTGGCTTTCCCTTAAGTTCAGTTTGAACTTATGCTGGTAAAGAGTCGTTACATGTGAAGAAACAAATTACTGAAAAAGTTAAATGGCATTAGTAACTTTTTCCTTTGTAAAGCATTGCTATGCATTGTTCAACAATGTGACAGACTGCAGTTAAGATTTGGCAATTCATAACTTTTATTTTTTTAGGATTAATAAGAATGAACAATCCTGCAGCTGTCATGATGTCCCCAAGCGGAAATGTATCCTCTTCTATGATGGCAAGTGGAACTAATGCAGAGCTGCAACCCAGGACACCTCGACCTACATCGCAGTCAGGTAGCAAACATGTATAGTAATAGCACCAACCTGTCACTAGTGTTATTGATGATTTGTTACTGTAAAATTACTTGGAATAATTTCTTCCTTCAGCATACAGTTGGCCGTTAAAGTGGAAGACAATTTTTATCATAACTGCAAAAGGTTTCTCTTAATATTTTAAATTTTAAGAAAAAAATATAACATCTAGGTGACTGTGTTTTCAATTATTGTATGCTCTTGTATTGTTTAATAGTCTTTCCTGTTATGCTTAAACATATTTTACCCACATACTGTTCTGTCAATCTCTTTGCCTTGAAGGGATCACTTCTGAGTGGTGCTTGTGCTGTGCATTCTCAGTCTCATTACTGAGGTTACCAGCAAGGGGGTCAAAAGTGGCTGTATTTTTTATTTTATTTTTAAATAATTTGTTTTGCAATGCAGGTATGTCTGGTTTTGGTCTCCCTTATTTCTGGAATAAGGGCTTTGTGCATCTGGGGTTTTGTTTCAGTTTAAATTAGGCACCTAAACTATTAGTCTACCTTCCCTCATTGTAGAGAGTGCTGAACACCTGCAGCTCTTGCAAAGAGTCTGCCCTTTTTTTAAGGCTTTTTTAATAGAATTGTTACTTTATATGCTTCACAAAATAACAAGTTTTCTGTGCTGAGAAACTTGCATTTGAATCTAAAGCTTATTAGTCTATAAGTTTACATGAATCTGTAAAATGAATGACCAGGAACATCATGGTTGGTAGGAGCCACAGAAGAGGTTTGAATTGATATGCCTCTTTGTAAAATAATACTTTTCAAGAGTAGTTGACTGGAATTTGAAGATCTGATTTGTCTTCCTGTTTTATTGGTACAGATTGTGTAAATTTAAGACTATTGAGACAGAGAGAGATTAGCTGGCCTGCCTTCCTGTTAAATGATCATTTTTGCTTGCCTACATAAGTTCCTTTAAGATCCTTTTGACACAACATACAAAACGTCATTTGCATTTACAGAAAATATTAACTGCTTGTCTGGAAATGTTATCTTATGACACATCATATATGATAGTTTGCTCCAACTCCCCTTCAGAGTTTGGAGTTTTATTAATCCCAAAAATGCATGTAAAGTTTACATTTGTCCACTGGAACAATTGCTTGGAGCCATAATCCTGTGTTTACATTCTCCACCATGCTTATGACCTAGCAGCTTAAGTTTCCCAGAATTTCTGGCATCTTTTAGAATACTACTAATTCTATACATTGGAGAAATTGGAACACTGAAGTGTGAATTTTTGTTGGACCCCAACTTCAGCGGAGAAAGCAAATGCAAGCAAGTAATTTCCCTTTCTTGTTTTGTGTTCTTTTTTTGGCTGCAGTGGATTACTTATTTTCACTTTTGTTTGCTGTTTCAATAGATGGAATGGATCCACTGTTGTCTGGACTAACTATCCAGCAGCAAAATCATCCCTCTGGATCTTTAGCTCCTCAGCTCCATTCAATGCAGTCAGTTCCTGTGAACAGGCAAATGAATCCAGCCAACTTTCAACAACTACAGCAACAGTCACAGCTTCAGCCACGCCCCCCACAGCCACATCAGCAGCCCCAGCAGGTTATTCGACCTTCATTTACTACAGCAGCTCAGGTTCCAGTTCCTCCTGGCTGGAACCAGCTGCCTTCTGGAGCACTTCAGCCTCCTCCAACCCAAGGAACAATGGGTACATTGACAGTAAACCAGGGGTGGAAAAAGGCTCCATTGCCTGGACAAATGCAGCAGCAACTCCAAGCAAGACCATCTTTAGCAACAGTACAGACTCCCTCCCATCCTCCTCCTCCATATCCTTTTGGAAGCCAGCAAGCTTCTCAGGCTCACACAAACTTTCCTCAAATGAGCAATCCTGGCCAATTTACTGCTCCTCAAATGAAAAATCTTCAGGGAGGGCCCTCACGGGTTCCCACACCACTACAGCAACCCCACCTGACCAACAAGTCTCCTGCCTCTTCTCCCTCTTCCTTCCAGCAGGGATCTCCTGCATCATCTCCAACAGTTAACCAAACACAGCAGCAGATGGGACCAAGGCCTCCCCAGAGTAACACACTTCCCCAGGGGTTTCAGCAGTCTGTCAGTTCTCCTAGCCGTAATCAAATGGTGCAACAGGGCAGTGTACCCCCCAACTTCATGGTGATGCAGCAGCAAAACCAGGGTCCACAAGGTTTACATCCTGGCTTAGGAGGTAAGAAATTCTGAGACTTAGGTTCTCAAAAAAATAAGGTGTAGCAAGAGCGGTAGAACTTTTAACTGTTGGGTTTTTTAAAATAGATTTTCAAAACTTTCTCCGTCGAATAAGTTCACAACTTGTTTTGTCTATGCACACAATGGTGAAGATGCTTTTTACTTCATAGTTATATCGTTACTGAATTACTGTCTTGATAGCATGTTATCATCTGTTACAGTGCTAATTTGGAAGGTAACTTGTAAGCACAGAAAACAATACAGCAATGATTTTTTGGCTGGTCACAAATCTAAATGGTTTGTTTATTTATTTATTTTTATTCTTTCTGCTGTCCTCCTTCTTTGACCTGTTCATGCCTCCCATTGTACAGGATACTTCATCAGAGAAAACTGATAGCAGATGAAGAATACTTTTTTCTTCTCTCCCCCCTTTACCCCTCTGTCCTCTTTTGTTTCATCACTGCCATAGATACTGAGTTTTAGCCTTGCTGTCTCCTTCAGACCATTGATACTTGTTGATCCTCCTCTTTTATCTTGCTCCCTTTGTCATCCCCCTTCTTTGTAATCTGGCTCTTTTCTTTCTGCTGTAAATCTGCCACACTTCGGTATTCTAAAATTAAAACTACTTTTGACCTTGCTTGCCTCTTGAGCAACATCATCTTGCTTTATCTGCTGCTTTATTCTTTTCTTGACATCCTCTTGGGTCAGCTCAGTCCAGCTTCAGCTCAATTACTTCAGAAGCTATTTTAATCAAGGTTACTAAGGACATGGTTTTGAGTAGATCCAAAGGCCTTTTTTCCATCCTTACTGACTTCCACCTATCTGCTGCTTTCAACTTTCCTGTTCTCTTTTAAGCTTTCTTAGTTTTCTGCTGCAGAGCTATCTCCTAACATTCATGCCTTCAACATTTCCTTGAAAAGCTACTTTCAAATCACTGTATCTTTTCCCCACAACATTCAGGCTGTTGCTAAATTCTTTCAGATTTTCTTTTATTTCTGAAAAGATCTTTAAAACAAACTTTAAACCATGCTGGGTGTTTTGTGTTGCTTTTTCCCCCTTGCCTGATGCACATCTATTTTGGCTTCCCAGATTCTCAAGTTGTGCATCTTGAGTCTCCCCAGTGTGCTGTAGGTAACATTCTCATCCTGGCTTACTGGTCTGGCCAGGACTCTCATCCATTTAGTCCTTGCACTTTGCATTTGATTGATTGATATTTTTTTTTTTTTTTTTGGTTGGATTCAACCTGCATCTACTGTTCAAGTGTTTTGCCCTTGCTTCATACTCTCAGGTTCTGCCAGCTAATCTATGTCAATTTTCTGTCCTTGACTCTCAGGGTATTCTCAACCCTTTTTGATGCCAAACTCTCAATTTGCAAGAGCCTCAGTAATCCTAGACTCTCCAGTCTAGTTTCTACCTTAATTCATATTACTTCTTGGGATTCACTTTTCAGGCAATATAGCTATAAGTTTCACTCCATCTTCTCTAATAGTTTCCCTCCTTTCTTAGTGCTAAGTTATTAAAATAAACCCCATGCTATTAATCTAAATGTGTACTAAAAACAAACAGAATGAAAAAACCCTAGCAAAACTGGCATGCAGCTTGAACTTATTTTTAGATTTTTAGAGTACTGTTTACTCTCACTATTAGGTAGATTCTCAGCTAGCATAGGTGTGTTTGTTTCGGTGAAGCCACATTCTTTTTAACTGTTGAATATCTGGCCTTTTATTGCTTTTGTTAAGAGTCCTCCTGTCCTATATTGTATTCATATTAAATTGTGAGCATGGCAGGGTAGGTGGAGCTTTCTCTTTGCAATGTACCATCTGTGTTACTTTTAAGTAATTCAGATGTAAGCACAAGTTTTTCATTTCATGGAATGTTTCCTTATTTAGCGAAGGTCAAATTTTAAATTGGATTTAATATATAGAAAATCAATATTAAAATTAATATATATGCAAATTAATATTAATATTTTACTTTACTGCATTTTTACTGATGTCTGAAAGTGTGAATGACTTGGACTTTGGTTTTTGCTAACCCTTGGGAATTGATAGTTCTGCCATATTTTGTTATATTCCATATTTGCAGCTGGGTCTCATACTTGACCTTGCTTGTTGGAGTGTCCTGGGAAGTGGAAGAAAATTAGAACGTGCAGTAGCTCCCCTGGATTCTTCCATGGGCTGCCCAATACAAGAGGGCCCCTTACTCTCAAGGGAATGTATTGTCACAATCTAGCCCCTAATTGCATTATACTCATTAAGTATGGCTACTTTTTAAAATGGGGGAATTGAGAATTAATAACCTGAAAAAACAAGTTTATTCCATGTAAGACTTTTTTATTTTACATATATGTTAGTTTTTCCATTATATAAAATAAACACAGCCTGAACACTGAGAGAGAGTTTTCTAAAATATTTCTATGGATATAGAAAAAACCCCATTAGCAGTTATCTGTTTCTGAATCGTTTTTAGGCTTTGCTTATTTTGATGTATAGCTGTAAAGAGAAAGCGGTCAGTTTAGCTGTTTTTCACTCTCATCTTAGATGTCATGTTTAAAAACAAAAAATTTGTACACACACAAGCTGTGCCATATTGCGTTTGTGTGGTGCTTTTACAGATAAGGACAAGCATCCCTGTCTCAGTAAGTTAATGATGAGTATTAGAGAATAGAAATTTCTACACACTGTGTGTGTTGACTAGATCAAGGACATGATGTAAAAGAGAAAACAGTTGAAAACAAAGACACCGGAGCAGGCAAAATCATTATAGCTTTGAGTTCTTGGTTAAAAGAATAATTTGCGTGAATGATTAGTTATTAGAAAATACAGTTAATATAATTGTTTTAGGACATAGCACTATCTTAATCAGGTTTTTTGCACTAGATAAGAATGATGAACTCTGCCATTTGTTACTGGCATACCAGCACAAACATCTTTTCTTCATAAAGTCAGACTTGCTATCTCTTTACTGTTTGTTTATTAAATTACAGTGTTGGATATTTCTAAACTAGAGGTGGGTGGAAACTGCAGAGATTTTGATTTGATTCCTGTCTGCTGCTGCTTTGTTTTCCTAATATGATGGGAAGAATTTCTCTGTGAGTCTCAACTCTCAGAGAAGTCCAATCTCAAAAATGACTTTGATTAATGAATAACTGTTTTGTATTAAGGAATCCCCAAGCGCCTTCCACCTGGATTCCCTGCAGGACAGGCTAATCAGAACTTTATGCAAAATCAGGTGCCTTCTACAGCACCAGGAACACCTGTGAACAGTGGAGCCCCTCAGCTACAAACAAGTCAAAATTTGCAGCATACAGGTTTGTGGCAAGCACATCATCTTTTTTTATTCCTTGGCATTTGTTTACTTGCCTTTAAAATATGTGTATTCAGCCATTTATACCTGTAATGCAGGCAGTGACGTATAATAACAGTGTCCTGTTCTAGTCAGTATTACATTGGTCCTGCCAAATTGAGTGTGGGAGTATTGTAGATGCAGTGTGTTCAGCTTTCAGGATGAAATAAAAAGCACGAAAGTCCCCTTAAGTCTCAATCCACCTCATCTACAGTTGCTCACAGCAATGACTTTCTTGGGTTCCAGTGTAACTTCATTCATTCTCTTTTGCCTGCAAAGAGGATTGTCTTGCAACCTCCCCACAAAAGAAATCTAGAATATTGTATGTTTGTCCTAGAAATAGTGAAGAGAATAATTCACTTAATCTTCAGTAAAAATATTAATCTTCTAATGGATGTTTACATTCTTTAAGCCTCTATTTAGAATCCATGTCAAATTTGGAGTTTTAATCATATAATAAATCTCTCATTACATGTTCTTAACATTTTAATTGATAGTTAAAGAAAATTTGCTATCTGGACTCTTCCTCTGTTTAGGAAGCTCTGATAATGTCATGTTGCATATATTTTTTTCTGTCTTTTTTAAAATATGGCTTAGATTAGCCTCAGGATTTGAAATTAATCCATGGATGTACAAGTTATTGGGTTGGATAAGGCTCTTGTCCTTTTTACTTTCAATGAAAATATGGTTCGCAGTGTCATAGAGATGTGAATGTCTTGACACTTTGCAGTTCTCTGGTAAAATACATAAGTAATTAAATTGGTGTTTGTTTTCTACTTGTCATATTATTTGTGTGATTTGTATTTTTTGTTTTTGTTTTCAAGGTGGTCAAGGTTCTGGCCCTCATCAAAATCAGATGCAAGCATCACATGGCCCACCAAACATGATGCAGACCAATCTAATGGGACTTCATGGAAATATAAATAACCAGCAGGCTGGTGCCAATGGAGTTCCACAAGTTAATATGGGCAACATGCAGGGGCAACCTCAACAAGGACCACAGTCCCAGCTTATGGGAATGCATCAGCAAATTGTTTCCTCCCAAGGACAGATGGTGAATATTCAGGCTCAAGGGTCTCTGAACCCTCAAAACCAGATGATTCTTTCCCGAACCCAGCTCATGCCACAAGGCCAAATGATGGTAGCACCCCAAAACCAAAACCTTGGTCCTTCACCACAAAGGATGACCCCACCCAAGCAAATGATTCCCCAGCAGGGCCAACAGATGATGGCTACACATAATCAAATGATGGGACCTCAAGGCCAGGTCTTGCTACAGCAGAACTCAATGATGGAACAGATGATGACCAATCAGATGCAAGGAAATAAACAGCCATTTAATACTCAAAACCAGTCAAATGTTATGACGGGGCCAGCTCAAATGATGAGAGGACCAACCCCAAATATGCAAGGAAACATAGTGCAGTTCAGTGGGCAAATGATGACTCAACAAGGCCCTGTGAATGGCAATCCTTCTCAGACTATGGGAATTCAAGGACAGGTTTTAAGAGCAGCAGGACCTGGCCCCCATATGTCTCAGCAGCACGGGGACTCCAATACCACAACAAACAATGATGTGAACATGACGCAGATGCTACCTGATGTTCCTGTACAGCAGCCAAATATGGTGCCTTCCCATATGCAGGCAATGCAAGGAAATAATAATACTTCAGGGAATCATTTTGCTGGACATGGGATGCCTTTCAATAGCCCTTTTACTGGAACACCAAATGGGAATCAGATTTCTTGTGGACAAAATCCTGGTTTTCCTGTCAATAAAGATGTCACTCTAACAAGTCCACTGTTGGTAAACTTGCTACAAAGTGATATATCTGCAGGACATTTTGGTGTAAACAACAAACAGAACAATCAGAATGCAAACAAACCCAAAAAGAAAAAGCCACCAAGAAAGAAGAAAAATAATCAGCAGCTAGAGCAAGCTAAGTAGGTTTAATATTCTTGTTTTCAACAGAAACAACTTCAGCATGTTTCTGTGTATGTGTGCACTCATGTGGAAAGAATGAGAGACTGCAGAATTTTGAACCTTAGTAATTTTTTTAAAAAGAAATATATTTAAATCACAACAGAGTTCTGTTCTATTTAGTGGGGAAAAAAGAGCACATTTAATTGTTGTTGTTCTAATTATCTGTGTTACTCCCAGCTGTTAATACCATAAGAGCATAATGTTTATATCTTTCAGATGAGGGGTCAGGGCTGGTAGTTGCTGCTGCTCTGTTAGTACCCCAGTCTCAAAAACATACTCATTTTAGTATAACAATAAAAACATCAGCTCCAAGATGGGAGACAGAAGGATACCTGTCCAGTCTGGCAGGTATAGTGAAGGATGGACAGATGTGTCCACAGGCGTTCCTAACGTATGGGGATAAATTGGTACAAAGAACTTAGGCAGGACTGGACACAGGCAATGGGAGGAGAAATGGAAACTATGAGTTCTTGAGGTGGGGAGGTTGGGACTCACAGGGCAATGGTGGGGACTAGAATAAGAAACCTTAGGTGTAGAGACAGGAACTGTCGATAGGCTGGAACTAGGGTTAGGAGAGTTAGGGAACAGAGTGGACAGAAACTGGCTAGGTTGGAAGAACAAGTCAAAAAGGTTAATGCTTGTGGGGGAAATATAGGTGATTTCCCTTTCACAGCCTGGAATGAACCCAGGGTTCTCATTCACATCATTCGTTGTCTGTGGTAAATACCTGGAAGTCACTGACCATTTTTCCCATGCCCTCCTGTTCCTGGTCCACATAGAAGACAACAGCCTACTAGTTCCATTAGCTTAAGCAGCAAAAGCATGTGTGGTGAATTTTATGATTCCAGCCCTGCTGATGCGTCTGGGTGTCAGTAGAATATGGGACAGATTTTGGGGTACTTTTCAGGTTGCTTTAAAAAAAAAAAAAGCCAAGAAATTTTATACGTGCAAAGTTGAGCATTCAAAAATTAGGATATATCATAGCTGGGGTTGCCTGTGCATCCCTGATTTAGCTCCTTGTAAGTGTATTATGACATAGCCTTTAATTAGATTCATCACTTACTACCTTTTGCCATAGGATAGGCCTGATTGAGAGCAACAGGATGGATAAGGTTTATCTACTGAGCATCTATTCAGCATGTCACTTTTTCCTTACAATTTTAATGCATGCTCCCCAGTACTTAACAACACTTTCACATATTGCTCTGAAGACAGCACCACAAGGAAATTAAGAATTCTGTGGGTGTTCATCACAAACCATTAGTGAATTTTCATGCACAACATTCCTCTGAGATGAGAGAATGTTGTTACCCCATTTTGCAGGTGTGTAAATAAGATATAGAGGTACCAAGTTCAAAAGTATAGTTAATTTAGCACTCCCAATTTAAGATATATTTAAAAGCTAATTTTCAAGGGTGCTTGCATTATATGACATTTAGTAGTTGAGGCATGACTCTTCACGACTTTGGTTGCAGAGGTGGGTATTTGCCACTACTAGAAATCAGACTTGAAACCCATGGTTTCAAGTTAGGCACTAAATGATGGACCCTTATTTATTTTCAATTTATGTCTTGATTAGTGTCAGGTAGGAATGCTGTCAAGGGAACAGTGTCCAGTTCTTTTGAGGAGCTTTCAGTTGCCTTAACCAAGAGATCATCTCTTCTCAGTCTTGTTAATTTTGCCTCTTCCCATTTCTGTAACCACTGAAACAAATCTGGGGTTTGAGACACAGGAATCTTCTTTCTTCGTTAATCCTCACTGATCTCCAGAACAGGTCTCTTCCCCATAATGAAGACAGCTGTGGTTCTAAGAAAAGTACAGGAAGCATGTAATTAAAGTCTGTACTATACTACCTACATACAACCAGACCAAGTTAAGGTTGTGCAGGCAACCTTATTTCTGGTATTTCCTTACTTTAGGATGTTGTACTTCACAACTTCACTAATACTCTTTTTAATCACAGTCTTTTTTTCCTGTGTAATTCTAATATTATAAAAGCCTAAGTCTGTCTGTGTCTGTAATGCTTTATTTGCACTGTGATTGGCTGTTTCCATCAGCCAACTGGAGTGCTACAAGCGTGGGGGAGTGCTGCCATGATTCCAAAGCCATGGTGAGGACTGGATAGATCCAGGCAAATGGAGGGAAAAGCTTCAATTTAAACAGTTTTTGGTAAAATTACAGGAGCTTTAGTTGGCTTCCTTCCTTCCACAAAAACAACAAAATAGCATGGAGGGAAACAAAAGTGGCTCATATTTCTAGGAAACAAAATCTGTTAATGATTAAAATTACTTTAACAGAAGGTGAAGTTAGTATTTTGTTTTCATATGCCAGCTTATTAATTCTCATTCAGTTTTACTGTGAGCTGAGATGGTATCAGTAATATACTGTAATTCTGTAAAGCTGTCTTTGAGCTTCTAATGCTGTATGTTATGAAGTTCTGAGTTGTTTGCTGTGAGGTTCTGACAGCTTTCTAAGTGCTCCCTCCTCCCTACCTCTTTCTGGTATTAAACTGGGAGAATTATTGGCAACACAAACTCCTTAAGTGTTTTGAGATCAAATGAAAAGCACATACAAAAATGGACTATCTTTGGATTTTGCTTTTTCTACTATACTTTATTTTTGCTATTAGTGCTTTGATGTCTTTGCATTCTTTTTACAGAGTACTGCTCTCTTACCTGGATACAGGATAGCAGTTTTATTCTAAATTTGGCATAGCTTAATAGCAGGCCATTCATTTGTATTTTAAGTGTATAGTCTCAGTAGAATGTTCCTGTTCTGTGGTAGGACCTTAGTCCTACAGCAACCCTGCTTTTAGGCATCCTTCTCTTTATCATCCTCCAGCTATTTCTTGGTTCTGCTTAAGGAAGTTCTATGCTTTGCTTCCGTTTAAATCTTCTTTTTTTAACTTGACTTCAGATCAGTTCCTTATGCATCAAGAGCAAAAACTAGATTCCTTTGCAAAAACAGCTCCTGTAGACAGCAAACTTCACTGAAACACAATTAGTTGGATCAGCATGCATGCACGCATGCATGCGGTTCCCATGTCGTCTTTTTCTTTCAGAAATTGCAGCTGAATTGCATTAATTCAGTGGTACAAAATTGCAGCTGTCCATTTGTGAAATGAAACCATACCAGAGTAGGAGAATGCCTAAATATGTCATGAAAAATAGTTTGTTCATCTAAAATAAAATCTTTTTTCTGCTCTTGTCTTTTCTGTGAGCAACAGAAGTTAGAATGAAATGTATTTTTAACTACAGAACAAAAAATTGACCTTCAGTTTAAAGAGCCCTGTTTAAAAGTAGTTTTAAAATAGTGTAAAACGTAGTTTAATACTCCTAAGTAGCTTGAAGTAGTTTAAATGTAAAAAAGTTTAATACTTTACTCCTATGTAATCTTTCAAGTATCTTTTAAGTTTAATATTCCAGCTTGTTTTATCAAATCTTGTTTGTTCAGGCAATTTTTTAAAAATAAGCTGAAGAATATTAAAGGTGAGGGTGCACAAATGTGTGCCAGACACCACCTCACTATTACATCTTGGTTGCTACAAAACAATGTTGTGCTTTGGAGCAGGTGTTGAAAATGCCCCTGTATATGAAGAGTAAACATCAAAGGCATTAACAGAATTCAGTAAAAAATGTGCTTGGTATGTTTACTCCTAAACCTAAAGCTCTCCTGTATAGAGCTATTTTATACAGACCTCTAACAGCTGCATATATTATAATAGAACCTGGTAGGAAAGCTTCCCCAGCTTTGAGGGAATCTACTGTTGCTGTTGGGCAAAAGAGCATTGTGAGAGTTATGCCATTTGGGAAGAGGGTCAGAATGCTTCTAACAGGGGAAACTGAGGGGAAGGTCTCCTGTTTACACTCAGGATGGGGCATACACAGCAAGTCACAACCTCCCAATGTGCATGGAAAATCAGGGACTTCTGCTATAAATGAATGCAAGAGGGGTGCTTCATACAAAAAATAGGGGCTATTGCTGTAGAGTCATGTGTATTCCATGTAGCTTGGGCTGGCTCTGCTCATGCTTTCCCTCTAGGTTCGCATGTCTTCATTCAGTATTTGGAAAAAAGGACTGTAGCACATCTCTTATGGAAAAGTATTTTACTGGGGGAGGACTTATCAACTAGAATAATATTTTTGCTATTAAATGTTATACTTCAGATCTGAACGTTTCAGATCTGAACGTTTGTAGCGAAGGGATTGGCACATTGAGAAATGTTACATGCAGAGGTTATGCACAAACAAATACTTCCAGTGGCTTCAAAAGAGGAGGGGGAGTAGCTGCTCAGGACTGCATAGAAGGTGTTATGTTGTAACTGTTACTTCTGCATGAATCTGTAGTGATAACCTCTTGGCTAGGTACAGATATTCAAAAAGCCTGAGGTGGAATCAGTCCAAGTTGTATGGTTTTTGTAAGCAGTGGAGTTTAGATTGGTAGCAAACAGAACACACATTCACCCTTTGGTTGGGGGAGCAAATCTTAGACCAGGCTGTGTCATTTTTAAAACAGTTTGTGTGTGCTCAACTTCTGTTATGGGTATAGACCAGTTTCTATGTTGTTGAAAAACTTTGATATATTGAACCATTCTCTTATGAGTACAGTACTTAAAATTACAGTGCTGGCCCATTGCAATATAACTGCATCCTTCTACCAGTTATATATGCAGGCATGTCCCAGCTGTCATTGTTAAAAAGATGATGTTTCAAATAAAACTAATGTAGCATGGTCTTTGAAATAGACATTAGCATTCATCTCGGGTACCAAACTTGGATTCAAGAGTAAAGCAAGGCAAACAAAAATAAGATTCTAGATCAACAGAGCTTTTAAGGTTTTATATTGCCTTCCTTGGATCTAATATATTAAGGCATTCAGGTGGACATGTAGGGCTCTGGGTTCCATTTTCCTCTGCCACTGATACATTATATATATATGATGTTCAGCATGTCTCTTACGTTAACTTACCTGTGTCTTTTGCCTATCTTTGAAATGGAGATAGTGATACTTCCACATCTCAGTGAAGTACTTTGAGAGGTACAAAGAAAAAGTGCTGAAAATGATTTATTATTCAGTGGTAAATAATTTAAGCACATTCTAAACAGATTTTGGCACTGGCTTTGGAAGTGCTGTTTAATTAAAAATATTTTTCCTTCAGTTCTTCAGAGACCCGTCCAGCTGGCTTGGAGGAGACTGATCAGTCATCGTTGTCTGGAGATCAAGGAATAAACTTAGATAACACTGGCCCTAAACTTTCAGATTTCACAAACAGACCAGCAGGTAATAATAAGTTTTTAGCATAAGTATTTTAATACAATATAGTATTTATTGATTTGTTCAGATATAATAATAATAGTAATAATAATATCTTGCTCTCCTACATGTTGGCATCTGGTGTTTTCCTGTTCTCTTGGAAGTAATAGTGCTTATTGTCTGATTGTTTCAATAAGTTTTTTAGAATGTAATGGAATATGGTCAAATACTGCTCTGCATTATGCTTCTAGTATCTTGCTGAAATGAGTAAGATTACACAGGAGTAACAGTTTAATGTGAAATTTGCTATAATTATGTGGCCAATATTCTCTTTGTTTTTGTTTGTTTCAGTGAAAATTAATTCTTTGTTAGGTCTAATACTGCTATTTTGAACAACAGTATTATCACAATATAGTTTTAGGGGATAAAATTAGTGTTTGGAGTATTTTTGATTTGTTTCCTAGGAAAATGCCTCTCTTGTTGATTGTGTTAGGATGGCAAATAGCACCACTTTCTGGGCTAGTCTGAAGTGATCACTGCTGTTTTGAGTGAGGCTGGATTAAAGAAAAATCCAGTATGAGGTCAGTAATGGTATCACTTCTGCTTTAATAGGGACACCTTGTGTGTGACCAGCTAAGAAGAGCTACTAGTTAGTGGAAGGTTTGCCATAGGCCAGACAATGAGTAACGGCGTAGTGAGTTGGCTGTGACTGAGCTAGTCTTTATCCATGGGTGGAATGTTTCTGTATTGTTAGTTTCAGTTGAGACAGATCCATGGGATGTCTTAGTTGTGTCTGCTCCAGTCAGGACTGATCTTGATGAGAGACACTTCTATAATCTTAGACATGACTCTTCATAGAGTGAACCCTATGGACAAACTTTAATGCCCTTGGCAACTTAGTGCACACAGTGGAAAATAGCCATCAGTCATAGTCCGTAGTTCTAGGGAAATGTATATACCCCTTAAGCAAAACTGGTCTCTAGAGCTGGTTTTTCTTTCTAAGTATACAGAACATGATATGGCCATTGCTAAGACCCCATCTTTAAAACTGCCTGCATGATAGGCCAATTTGGGGCAAAACCCTGTCACCTTTTAGATGAAATCCTGGCATAGAAGTGTGACATCCAGGATGTTAGTATTGGACACTAAGAGGTAGAAAACAACACTGTGAGCATGCACCTTCTTATGTGCTGTAAGCTCAGATTTAAAAATTGAACCTTTTGAACCCCAAATTGTACCTTTTTGTAGGAAACTGAACCCAAAGCAAAAACTAAACCCAAAGCAGAAAATCGACTGGTTGAAAGTACAGGTATAGGGAAATACCGTATTTGATAAACTCAACCCTGAATCAAGCTAGCTTTGCAATATTGTTGATGAATCCTCTGCAGAAGTTTTTGGCTTCTGTATTTGATGTCATACCAGCTGGCTTGATGAACATGGTACAGAAATTCAGCACCTTTTCCCAAGAGAAGCTCCTGTGACTTTACTCGATCATGCATTGTCTTAGGCAGCTAACTTGGAATTTCATGAGATCAAATGATAGTCAAAAGAGGCTGCAAATGATGAAATATTAATGGTGGAATGACGAGGCAGATGAAATTCAGCTCCATGCAAATAAAAGAGGACAGTAAAATCTTCCGTGTTACATTACAAGAAGTTTTTTTTGACCTAAAGACAGCCATTTTTTCAGTGAAATGCATAGATGGAAGCACGCTACTTAATATTCACAACCAAACTCTTGGTCACTGGTGGGAACACTCTAGTGGCCTCCTTAATCCTCCACTGTTGATGATGCCACTTATGAAATTGAACAAACCTCTGTGGACAAAGTTTTGGAGGAAATTCTTAAGGCATCGACCACTCCAGAAATGGGAAAGCCCTTGAAATAGATGCAATGTTAGCTGCAATATTTATGAATATAGTCATACGGTATTTACATATTAGTCATCATAGGCTTTTGGCTTGATTTTGGCTTTTGAGAAGTTGGGGAGCTTCCCCACATTTTAATGCTGCCCTTATCATGATCTCTAAGAAGGAAGTTGATAGTTCTTGTTACAGAGGAGTATCTTTACTCTGTGCCATTGTGAGCTGTTCACATGTAAGCATTTCACCAATCTGTAGGGGAAGTAGTGCTTCCTGAAAACAAGTGTAGTTTTTGAGCATCTTAGAGTACTGTGGACATGATATTCATTTTCTGACGAGAAAAAAAAAAAAAAGGAACAATAAGTGCCTAATCATGCTGTATGTATTCATTTCAATTAAGCTTCATTACAGTGAGCAGAGGATTGCATATAGTCTGTATTAGCAAACATGGATGTGTAGTATCATTCACGAGAACTGTTCACTAGTTGCAAGAAGGCACTTGTGGTGAAGATAAAGTAGCTATACTTTCTCAATTGCACAAGAAGTCAAGCAAGGTTCCATTTTTCACCTTGCAGCTGTGATCCAGACTGAAGCAAAAAAAAAAAAAAAAAGAAATGTCTATACATATCCACACACAAATGAACTGAAAACTGTCCAGTCCGTATGTCTCTACCAAACGTGGAAAAACTGCATGTGTGATCTAATTTGTGTGGATGATTTGCTCACTCAGTGTGATCTTTATTATTGTGGATCACTTTGCAGTTCACAGAAGTATTTTAACAACCCACTCCTGGTGATGCATGTTGCAAGCCCATTATTTTAATGTCCTTTTAAAGATATCAAAGCAGTTTCCATATTTTGGAGATGTTGTGGAGAACAACTCTCCTGTTACAGAGTTGGTGAACAGAATTCAAGCAGCTATCACAAATTTAGACACCTGGAAAGCAGAATTCAGGACCAACAGAGCGTTAACCCATTAACCTACTCTATCCTGCAGTTGTGCTCAGTTCTCTTTTGTATGCTGCCAAAACTTTCATCCTTGGTAAATACTGTGTCCACCAGCTTAATGCTGTAGCAGCCACGCCTCCGTCAAATCCTCCAGTGTTAGAGGAACAGGTTATTTAGTAGTTAGGTATGCAAAGAGTCAAGTGTAGAAAACAGTCCTTAATGTCTGTCATTTGCTGTAGGCTGGCCATGTAGTTGTTTGCATACCAGAAACTACAATGTTTAGTATTCTTTTCTTTGAGAGGAGGATAAGATCAAAACTGTATAAGAGTCTGTCTGCTTCTGAGGGATGTCATCAAAAGGTGTCTGAAAGAGAGTTGCTTTGACTTTGGTTTGTCACAAGTGATAGATTCTTAAGCCTATGTTGCAATGCAGAGCGCTAGTGCATTAATTTATACAAACTGTGGATCAAAAGAAAAAAGCATAGAAGGTGTGTAGAGGCTGTTGATATGCCTAAATCTTTAATTTACAGTGCTCAGATTGGGCTAATCTAGTGCTAGTATGTTAATATCCTGTGACGTGCCCCCATTTGAACATTTTAATTTGTTCCTCGTGTTGCTTGCAGTGAACTACTAGTGCTTAGTTTGAGTTGGGACCTCTGTTTTATTCTGTATTTTGGCATCTGCTACTCTGGTTTCTTTGTACTGTAAAGCAAGAAATTGTCTGTGGTTTACAGGTAATTTTAGGATTTGTTCTACTAGTATTTTTTTCTTGGCCCTTGTCTGTGTTTTAATACTTGGCCTGTTTGTCTCAAAGGACATTGATTCAGACAATACTTCTTTTTAAAGACACATTTCTTTACCTATATGTAGAAGTTATCTGTTTTTCTTGCCAACTTTTAAATACGTTACTGATGCACGTTTTTCTACTTTTTCCCATTCCAAGAGTGCTAACATTAGGACTGTCAGATTATTAGAGATGCTTTGAAAATATTAAGTATTTCCTAATTTTACTGTACTGAGAAGTATTCTTAAGTAATATAAATTACAGATGGAAAACCCTCTGCCTGTGGTAGAGGGATTGAGTCTAAAGTCCTTGGAGGACGTTTCAGATATTTAACTATGCTATGTTCTAAGTTCACAATGCTGTTTTTGGTGTTTCTGTTGCATGTTACAGGGTTTTGCAGGATACCACAGAAGCTGTCACATCTTAACCATGGACTTGTTCCTCAAAGCACCCCAGCTGCTATTTAAGTTTTGTCCCCTCCAATGTGTCCATATCTGTGCATACATATGTGTTCATGCAAATGAGCGTACACATGTATACACATATGCACATATTGCATTTCAACTCTGAATTCGTAAGTGGGGAAAGAAAGCTATAAAGACAGCTGCAAAGATTTGTTTGTCAGACAGAAGGGTAGCTAAGAGTAGATGTAATAATACCTGCCTCCTACAAGTCAAGGTCCTGAACATTAGCTGTATATTAAGTCGTCAGATATATGCCTCTTTACAACTTCGATGATATCTTGTTTGTTTGGTTTTTTTGCTTTTAATTTTTTTGTATTATTAAATGGCTCTTGTGCTGGAGGCTGCAGCCCAGGAATTCACTTGTGTTTCTGTTGCATTTTTTGCTTTGTCTGAAGTTTCTAAGAAAGCACATAATTTAATTTTATTTCTCATTTCAGGTTATCCATCTCAGCCAGTTGAACAAAGACCTCTTCAGCAGATACCGTCTCAAATTATGCAACATGCACAACAACAGCAGCAACAGCAGCAGCAACCACCACCACCACAGGCACAGGCTCAGACCCAGCAGCAACAAATGATGATGATGCTTATGATGCAGCAGGATCCCAAGTCAGTCAGGCTTCCTGTGCCACAAGGTGTTCATCCACCTAGAGGCCCTCTAAATCCAGAGACCCAAAGAATGCCAATGCAGCAAAGTGGCAACATGCCAGTAATGGTTAGCTTACAGGGTCCTGGATCAGTGCCTCCATCCCCTGATAAGCAAAGAATGCCTTTGGCAGGCAATCCTTCTCTAGGAAATAATGCAAGAAAGGTGGTTTATCAAGATAATATACAGAATCCTTCCACTTCACCTCTGGGAGAGGTTTCATCTGTACCCTCACTTCCAGAAGGAAATGGTGTTGAAGTCTCTCCAGTATCAGGAACTCAAAATAATATGACATCTCATTTAGTAGTTTCACAAAATCAGCTCATGATGACAGGTCCAAAACCTGGACCCTCTCCACTTTCAAATCCACAAGGTGCAAGTCCTCAGCAGCAGTCTAATTCTCTACCTGGCTCTCTTACACACCATTTCCCAAATGTTGCTGCCCCATCTCAAACTTCAAGGCCCAAAACCCCAAACAGAGCAAGCCCAAGACCATACTATCCTCAGACTCCTAATAACCGTCCACCTAGCACAGAACCTTCAGAAATAAGCTTATCTCCAGAGAGACTTAATGCTTCTATTGCTGGTCTCTTCCCTCCCCAGATTAATATTCCTTTACCTCCTAGACCTAACCTTAATAGAGGATTCGATCAGCAGGGTCTTAATCCAACTACTCTGAAGGCCATCGGGCAAGCCCCATCAAATCTTTCAATTAACAATCAGTCTAGTTTTTCTGCTCCACAGTCGCATAAGTTGGATAGTGTGGCTGTCAATTCAGGAAAGCAAGCCAACACTGCAGGGACAAAGCGAGCAAGTCCAAGCAATAGCAGAAGGTCTAGTCCTGGATCCAGTAGGAAAACCACACCGAGTCCTGGCAGACAAAATTCAAAAGCAGCTAAACTAGCCCTTGTAACTCAGCAGAACCCAGCGCTCTTACAGAACCTGGAATTGCAAAGAAATATGATGGTTGGTCCAACTTCTTTGCCAGCACCTATAACTACAACTTTTCCAAATAATAATATGCTGAACAACCAGAATCCTGCAGTTTCTGTACCTTTGGTGACTGGCATTCCTGAGGACAGCAAAGAGAGCCTTAATGTTTCTCAAGACAATGAATGTCAGAATACACAGGTTGTCCAAGGTAGTAAAGACCAGCCTAATGTTGAACTGAAAGGCATTCCTAGCCAAGAAATCAAAATGATGGTTCCTGAAGAACCAAAAAAAGATGGACAATCTTTAGATACCAGCAAGCTTCCCAGCTTGGAGGAAAGCAAGACAATGGTATCTTCAGCTATGAGAGAGGCACCAACTTCATTAAGCCAACTTCTTGATAATTCTGGTGCTCCTAATGTAACTATAAAGCCTCCTGGGCTCACCAGTCTTGAAATGCCACCAATGGTGACCTCTGGGGAAGAACTAAAGAAGATAGCTGTCATTCCTCCACTACAGGATTCCTCTTCAAGCAAAGAACCTGCTAATTCCGTAAGCTTGTCTCAGAATAATGAAGGCTGTTCAAACCAAGTGCACCAAGAACTCGGAGAGATTAATTCAAATGTTACTCAGACTGTTCCTCCAGTATTACAACGGCCTGTTAGCTCCTCTTCTATATCCACTCCTTTACCACCCAACCAGATAACAGTTTTTGTAACTTCAAACCCCATTACATCTTCTGCTAACACATCAACACCATTACCATCTCATTTACAACCTACATTAGTGTCTACCGTTGTCACAATGCCTAATGTAGGTAACAAAGTTATGGTTTCTGAGGGACAGTCAGCAGTTCAGTCTAATACCCGACCACAGTTCATTACACCAGTTTTTATAAACTCATCCTCAATAATTCAGGTTATGAAAGGATCTCAACCAAGTACAATACCAGCAGCCTCCATGAGCACTAACTCTAGCTTAATGCCTCAGTCAGTTGCAGTTGTTGGTCCCTTGCATATACCACAGAACATAAAGTTTTCCTCTGGGCCTGCTCCTCCTAGTACGTCATCTAATAGTTCTGTCCCAAATATTCCAACAAGTAGGTCACTGGTTCTTAATCCACTGGCAACTCCTATTCAGCTTCCTTCTCCCCCATCTACAGCATCTTTGAATGTTCCTTCACATCCCCCTATTCAACAAGTCAAAGACTTTAGCTTAGAGGAGGCTACCTCTCAAGCTAATATATCAACTGACCAGTGCTCTGTAACAACAACGCAGTGTGGACCTGTGGTTTCACCTCTTCTCACAAGTAGTCCAGGATCTTCTGGAAACAGGCGAAGTCCAGTTTCGTCTAGTAAGGGAAAGGGAAAGGTGGACAAGATTGGTCAATTTTTGCTGACCAAAGCATGTAAAAAAGTTATAGGCTCTCTTGAAAAAGGGGAGGAACAGTATGTTTTGGATGGAGAAGCCGATGGCCAGGGGCTAGAAATGTCGGTCCCTAACAGTCTGGGGACAGAGCAATTGCCTGTAGAGGTAGACAATAAAACAGTGACACCTCCAGTACCCAGTCTTATAAAACAGAGCACTTCTGGGCCTGGCAGTCTGAGTGTAAGCACTGCTGCTACTGTTTCTGCTTCTGTATCTTCAAGTTTATCAAGCAACACTCCTCCCACAAATGTACTGTCGGTTGTAACCACTCCAGCAATCCAAGAGCTTCCACCCACAGCCCCAAGCACTAATAATAACCACAGTGGTTTACCAGCTGAGCAAATTGGGATTGGCTTAGTGGAGGAAAAAGCAGGAGTACATCAGGAGCTACTACAAAATATAGGTACGTACTTTGCATGGTACTGTTCTTCCACCTGCTTCTTACCCTTGTGTGTCAGAAATTCCACTGGCACATAAAACCTGTATTTGAATTTAGCACAAAACTTAACACTTAATTGGAAGGTAATGTAATCCATTTGTCGCTTCTAGAGTGGTGTTTTTATAGCACCCAAATAGTATAGCTATACTTGTGAATTTTTAACGTAATATAACATTTTTTGTGGCTTGTTTGATTTTTCTGAAAGTCTCTCTAGGTTCTTAATAATTTTTTTCACTTTTTTAGGTATTTTGGGTATTCAGAATTTTTTTTTCTTCCCTTTAATCCTGTTGTGCAGCAAAAAGCTTAAGATGGAAGACTTTATGTGCAGCGTATTTGATACCATGAGTGATTTCACTTAAGGCTCAGAAGTAGGAAGAAAATACATATTCGTTGTAGCTAAAATGACAAAACGAGTGCATACAATTTCTGTCAAAGAAGCAAACTGCTTTTTTTATTTCAATGTTGCCACAGCATATGAGTGGTGTGTTTTTATGGGCTTTTTTTGTAACTTTTTAAATATAAAGAAGTAAAATTTGGTACCAAAGAAGCATATGAAGATGAAAACTTAATTGGGGCAAGTGAGAAGGAACACAGCGTTTGCATTCTAATATTGTTAACCTTTTTGGGGAAACGGCTGACTACCATCATTCTGTGGCAGTTTTTTTTTAAGTAAAAACAGATCATAGAGAAATTTTAAAAAATATTAATCTTTCAGAGAGAGAAAATGCAATATATCATTAAAAGTAAATTATTATGAGTATATAGACTACCTTAACCCACAGGTGGACAGAGTCTGGCCTGTGGGCTGGATTGGGCCCGTGGTAGACCCTATTTCCCAGCAGCCCTTGCCCACATTGCTGTGGCTAGTTTCCATGGAGACCCCAGCAGTGGTGGGGTCGTGATGGCATGGGGCTGTAGTTTCCATGGAGACCTGCCCTAGCAGTGCTGGCAAGGCGCACAGCTGGGCAGGGAGCTGCTCTGGGACTGGGATCTTGCAGCGGTGACAGCATGGTCTGGAGCCGGGGCAGAACTGAGATCCACTGCCTGCATGCCTCAGATAGAAGCTGCCCCAACTTCAGACCATGCGGTCACCACTGCAAGATCCCAACCCCAGAGCAGCTCCCCATCCAGCTTTGTACTGTACCAGTGCTGCTGACGCTGATCTCCATGGGAACCTGGCACCGTGCTGTCACAGCCCTGCCACTGCTGGGGTCTCCATGGAAACCAGCCACAGGTATGTGGGCAGGGGCTGCTGGGAAGTGGAGTCTCACTGCTGGCTAGATCCACCATTTTGCCCATCCCTGCCTTAATCTAAGATATCTTTTTAAAACAATGTTCTGAACTATTATTATGACTTGAACACAATGTTGCTGCCATTTCTTGTGTGAAACGGAAATAAAACAATGCCCAAAGTCGGTTCCCTGAAATACGTTTCATCTTAGGGTAAATCCTGGAGCTATGGAAGGCAATTGGAACTTTGCCATTTGTCGTCCCCCACCCCCTTCCAAAATGGGGCCACAGTTAACAGGCACGCTTCTTACAGTAAACTGTAATAGTGTTCTGCTATGAAATAGAAATGTTTACTTCAAGCTTACATGAGAAAATCTGTTCTAGTAGTTAGAAAAAGCTGTTACTGAAAATAAAGTCACAATTTTACTGTAAAAATGAGTGGCAAAGAACGTGCCATTACTTTCAAAGTGACTTTGCTGCTACTTTTTATATTAGATACATGAAAAATACTGAAGAGAGGAATCTCAATGGACATATGGCAGAATATGTACAAAGGCAGAAGTTTATATATCATAAAATGGAGTGTATGGAATGACACTTACTGTGGTGGAGCATGACCTCCAACACTTTATGTTTTATGTCCAGCTTCAACATTTAGGGTATGGAATTAGATTGCTTTAGTTTGAGGCTAGCTACAAGGTGGTTGTTTTTTTGTTTGCTTTTTTCTTTTTTTTAGTATAAAAGTCTTTATCTGACTGCAGAGGAAGAGGAGTCCTCTTTCTGTTCTCCATAAATTCTTTTTTTTTCCCCCTCAGTGCTTCTAGATGAGTGATTTTCAGGTAGGGTGTCACAGCCATGCTCAAGCTTGGCACTGCTGGGCCAATCCAGTATTCCCACTGCCAGACCCCTTACATTGGTGGTGCTCAACCTTCTGGTTCTGCAAGCCAGATCAGTGCTGTGGGGCCAGTCTATGGGCCTTCCCCAGCCCAGCATGTTACATTACATGATATAGAGATGTTTACCTGTGAAATACTGAGATGGCTGAAAATTTTTAATAAAAGTTCTATGAAAAGTACCATTAATTTTGAAAATGAAACGAATTCTTCATAGGTAAAAAAGCTTTTAAAGTTGAAAACCTCTGAATACTCTGCCTTCTTGCCCTCTTCTCCAGCCCCCCTTTCCCTCAACTCCACAGCAACAAGCTGAGATGACAGCAGCTAAGGTAGAGTTAAGTAGTTGCACATTTTGTGCTACTTTAAATTTTGTGGACTTGTGGAAAGAAAAACACAAAGCTGCACCACACTTGGAGTGTAATTAGAGGGAGAGACCTGAGGTTTTTTTCAGTTTTTTGTTTTTTCCTGAAACATATGCAATATAATGGGTCTTTAAGGGTCTAGCACAGTTTATTTTACTGGATACTTCCTTTTTGATTTATTATAATCTATAAATCCCAGCAAGGTGCCTTTCTTAGCAAGGTCTATTGCATCCTTTTTTATTTTTAACTTGGTACAATAAGGAAGTTTACATTAAAGTCTTCCTTTGTTTTTGCTAGAGATTTTCATGGGTGTCTCAAGTTTTGAACTTGTGCAGCTTAATAAAATTGTAGATGTCTTGTGTTATTAACAGAGATTTTCCAGATGTTAATTAGTCTTTCCTTAGTGTCAGTGTTTAAAGACTCCAATGCTAGAGCTTAAAACTCTAGCTAAAATCAAATTTCTCTTTAATCTCTCAAGATCTAATTTAACCAGTATTTCATATGAAAAAGATACAGTTTAATGAAGGAGTTCCCCTTACCTTAGAAATCAGACTTTGGGGAGGGGGTACCAAAAATAAAAAGTGTGGGGGAGGGGAGAGGGGAAGTGTATATGGATGTATATGTGCATATATGATGCAATCAATCAGAAGAAACTGCAGGGCTATTTACTCTTAGCTGATTGTACAAAGCAAAAAATTCTTGTAATTTACTTTGAACAAAAAAATTAATTAGTTCTGAATTTTTCTGCACTTCTTATTTTAGCATCATCTCAACATTTAACCCAGAAGGAAACTCCAGTTACAACATCAGAAAGTGCTGTTCAAAGAACAGGTAAACTTTTGTTTTGGAAAATGAGGATACACCTGTGGAAGTGCACATAAATTTTAATTTGTGCATCTAAGAAGTCATTGCATCATGTTGATTGTGTGCATTCTGGAAATAGATAGTTCTCATCCTGTGAATTGGAACAGTTTAAAAATAAGTGAAATAGTTTGGCTGACTTCTGCCATTGAAATATTTTTGCCCTAATGTTTATTCATATGAACAGTTCTTGCTTTTTTGAGTGTAGGCTGAGATTTTCAAAGTGCTGTTAAGAAACTGACACCCTTTTTCATTTATTTTAATGGTGGCATCTTTATATCTGCAAGATCACCTATAGTTGAGTGTTGAGAGCTATCAAGGATAGATTTTTCAGACTATCTCAGTTCCCCTTTAGATACCTTAATTATTTGGTAAGGGTGCTGAATAGTCATTGAGCACCACTGAAAATCTATTGGTGTGCTTAAATGTTAAGCAGCAATGTGGGTTTTCTGTTTCCCACAGAAAAACGCAGTAAACTACAGACATTACTGTTTTCCCAGATGCAAATGTGGATTTCTCATTTTACTGGAGAAGCCAGCGGATTTTGCAGTTTTGGGATGAGCTCTCTACAGGCTGGCAGAGTTCCAGCCTGCAGGAGGCTGGGAAGGAGCGGGAGAAGGGTGGTCAGGCAGGGGACACCATGTGCATGTATATGCACATGGCCCCAGGCAGCCTGGAAAGCAGCTCCCACAGGTAATTAGATGGGGAGAGGGGAATTGCGCCCCCTTAGAGAAGGAGGGAGGAAGGAGTAGGGCAGGGCTGGGACTGGGGCTGCTGCCCAGCCGGGCAATGCATGGGGTTTGGGGCCTGGGGCTGCAGGACGCCAGCAGGGAGTGAGAGGGGGCTGCAGGCGGCTTGTCCAGGGGGGCAGGGCTGGCTCCCTGCCACTGTATATACTCCTAAGGGGCAGGGGAGACCTGCACTTTGACGAGTATAACCCCACACCATTGCCTCTGCTGCAGCTGTGTGTGCAGGGGGTGCGTTGCCAAAGCAGCGCAGAGCTCCCAGTGGCAGGCAGCTTCTCTGCGCAGCTCTGCTGTTCCCTTCTCTGCCGGGTCAGTGTAATTAGAAATAGGACTTGAAAAGGAGTGCATTGACTTAAAACAATCCATTTAAACAAACACAACTGAAATTACTTTCTTCCAAGGTTATATTCATCATGTTGATTCTGATGTGTTGGTCATAGGGTGTTAGCTTAAAGCTAGATACCTATCATTCTAAGATTTACAACTGGATAGTATTCCGGTAGCTAGAATTCAGCATACAAGAAAAAAAAATCTTGATCAAAATGACTATACATTCAGTCTGTTTCACTCTTCCATTACTGTGCGTCAGATGGGTTTTACACAGAGCAGTTAGAATAATTGCACTTAATTGGCTCAGTAATAAGAATATGTATCCCATAACTTGGTCCTTACATTTTAGTGCTTTTATTTTTCCTTTTCTAGCTGTTATTTTTTGAGTACACGAGACACTAGGCTTTTGCACTAAATGGTACTTAGCAGAAATGGCTGTTCTTAAAGGGAAAACGTGTTTTTACATTTTGTCCAACAGTGGCAACAAAAAAAGCAAGCACAATTTTAGGATATTTAAGTTGAAATGGAAAATACTGATATACAAATTATAAATGATATGAGAATAAATAATGTATAAATTATAATGCTCCTCTGTTAACAAACTACATTCTCTTCTTAGATATGGGTCTCATCTGACAAAAAAATTAGCAGAAAGAGGGAATTCAGCAATGTAAAATAATAGAGACTTATAAAACCTTTTTATATATTGAAAAATAGACTGTTTACCAGAGAGGAGACAATAGGGGATATGATAAAGGTATACAAAAAAGAATGATATAGAGAAGGTTGGCTGGGAAATTCTCTTCACTTTAATGCAAGAACAAGGTTATTTTAGTTGAACTGAATGCATCAAATTCCAAGTTGGGGGGGAGAGAGGGTGGAAGACATCCCAGTAAGAGTGGAGCTTGTTGCCACAAAGTATCGTTAAGGTGAAATTCCTGGATAAATGTTATGTTTAAGATTATCCAGACTTGTGGTTTTTAAGGCAGGGGTGGGGTTTGGAAATCCACAAGAGCTTTGAAAGGGACTACAAGTGCTGAAGTCAGTTACCCACCCAAAGGAAGGTTCAGACGGGGGAAAAAATCTTGACAGGTAGGCTATTTTACCACTGCCTTCTGCAGGATTTCTTAAGCCTTTCTGTGAAGCAGCTAGTGCTGGCTCAGTATTCCATTGATAAAATATCGACATAGATGGATCATTGATCTGATAGTTCAGCTTTTCATTTGAATAGGATGGTTTTATTGTGAGAGGACTAATTGTCATTCGCAGAGGAGAGAAGTTACCCAACAAGCTGGGCTTCCCTTTTTTAGGGGAGGCAAAATATGAGATTAGAGGGTTGTATTTATTTAGTATGAGGTGTCTCATTAGCTCAGTCAGAAAAATGTACTGCATATAGCGCTGAGAATATTTCAAAATAGACTGGGCTTCATAAAATACAATATGCATGTGTATTTTCTTGTTATGATTCAACATTTTCCATCAAGTGTAGTTTGAAAATCAGCATGGTAGTGACATACCATCCAGATACATGACTCCTAGCATGTGTCTCTTTCTTGCAGAACTTGAAGCAAGTGCTGCAGTAGTTGCTGGTCAAAGGTAAGTAGATAATGTCTGTAGATCCAGGAGTGATGTAGCTGTCTTTGAAAGAAGTTCATTTCTCTTTGACTTTCTTTATTCCAGAATTGCACAACTTAAAATCCTTCACTGTTATGGATTTTTTTATTCTCTTGCCATATCTGTTTCTTGCCTCAGAGTCTGGCTAATCCAGGTTTTGAAGTAGGAAGAATTTACATTAAAACTTCTGAATGCGATGCTACCTTTTTGGACACCATTTTTCATATCCCCTAAGGTTTCAATGCTTTCCTCTCTTTGAGGGTGTTGCATGGCTCCAGTGGTCACTGCTTTTTGTAGTGTTCTTTACAGAAGAGGTGAACTCAAACTACTTTGTGTGTGCTAGCTTCATTAATCCGTTTTTCAAAACCTGATGCATGATTGCTCTTATTTTTACTACTGAAATCTGATAAAGCAAGGCTTTGTAAGACATGCATGTACATAGAGATCTTGGCTAATGTAATCATAATTTAACTGTTCCAACAACAGATGGTTATTTTATCAGACTGAAGTATGATTTTCAAGATTGTGTTAACCTAGTTGCATCTTAGACCATGTTTTAATAATAAAAACCTTTAACTGGTTGTAGGAGGATTTAATGGTAGTTTCACTTTGTCAGATACCTCATGCTAGTCTGCCTGGCCGCCCCTGCACCAAGTACAGTGCATGCCCACAGGAGGAACTGTCAGTTTAACCTGGCTCACCCAGCATTTGTATAGATCGTGTGCTTCAGCAGAGCTTTTTGATACTTTTATCTAATACCTGATTGCTCTCCTAAATTTTATAAGCCCTGGCAGATGCTGTATTTTGCTTTTACTGTCCCCATGTGGTAGACGAGAGTACCAAGATTTAAAAGGATTTTAACACTATGAAACTTTTTTAGGGAGGATTGGTGCTGAATTTAATATTTAAAAGAATCTGCTATTTTCTGGGACTAGAGTCTCTCCTTAAATGTCTGATGCACAGGCATAACAAGTCAGCCAGGTATCCAGGGCAGGTGTGATGGAAGCAGCAGTGACTTATACTGGTAGCATGGTGGCAGCTGTAATTGTACAGCTACAGCAGCAGCTGCTATGTCTTTGCCTCCTTCACCCCACTTCCCATTCCTGGAGTTGGCACCCTGCTGCCCTGATTGCCCAACTCTGACATTATGTATTTTGGGAGCTAGCTTTCTCTTTAATTTTAGCAAAACCAAACTGAAATTTCATGTGCAAGGAGAGGTAGTTAGCCATGTTAATCTGGAGTTAGGCAGAAGGCAGGGTACAGGTAGGCCAGTTGTACATGTGATGGGTGTTTAGTCCCCTAAATTGCAATGGTGGGTTTTTAATTGCAACTATTAAAAGCCCACTGTTTCAATTTAGAGGCTTCCGACACTATAATGAGGGACCCGATCTCCTTTTCCCCCCCAGCCCACAGAGCCTGCCTGCCTCTCCCACGGGGGAGGGGGTGGTGAAGGGGGTGAGCTGCTGGTGGGCCAAGCGGCCCCTGAACTGTGGCGGGGCCCTGGTCTTTCCCTCTGTAGCAGCAGAACCCCACAGGGCCTTCTGGGTGGGCTGCTAGCAGGTGGATGCCACCCAGGGGGCACCACTGCTGTAGAGGGACAGCACAGTGCCCACCAGCAGCTCACATCTCAGCTGCGGGAAAGGCAGGCTCCATGGAGGGGTTGGGGGGAGGAGGAAGGAAGGGGATCAGGCTCCCAGCCACATTTTCCCCCTCCCCCCCAGTGGAGCCTATCCGTGTGCCTGCCTGCGTGATCTGCCACCAGGCTGTGCAGCCTCTGAGCTGTGGGGGGCGGGGCCCGGTCCTTCCCTCTGCAGTGGCGGTGCCCCCCCAGGGCCACCTGGATGCGGTGCTAGCTGTGTGGGTGCTGCCCCAGCTTGCAGGCAGCACCTGCCAGATCCAACTCTTCCCCAAGCCTGTGCACTGGAAGCCCACCGGGCACTGCTTCCCATGCGGGCTTGGGGAAGAGTTGGATCTGGGAGGTGCTGCCT